CCCAGATGGGCCTCTGTGCTGTGCTCCCCACTGAACTCTAGATTTGCTTCCTCTAATCGGCTCACTTTCTAAATTCTGCTTTCTACAAATGCGATTCCCTGCTCCTAGGTGGTTCATGCACGGTGTCCTCAGTACCTATATAGATGCTATAACATAAGGGCTGAAGCTGCAAGTTATCCCTTGTCCTGTCACTGGCACTGGATCTGGGCTGACCTCAAACTGTGCTCTGAGCCTGAGACTTGGGTTCAAAATGTGAGGTGTAGATTGTGCATCCTCACCCAGAGAATAAGAGCTTTGCAAGACACAAACAAAACACACTTTGTTATGTCGTTTCATATTTCTCTATTTTAATCACAGCTGTGCAAATTAAGCAGGGAACCAAACACTCTAGAGGGATTATATTAATTAACATGGAAAACTAGGAAAAACCTTGTCTTGGCCAAGACTCAGTCAAGGTCTTGAGTACTGCAGGGAACTAGGTACGAGCACACACAGATTTCAGTGTCTGTGGTGTATGTTTCTCAGAATTGAGACAGAAAACTTTTTGTTGTTGACATTTGACATTTGGGAACACGTGATTGGGGCTTTATTTCAATTTTGGTTGTCAAAGTGTTTTAAAATGTGTTTTTAAAATCATCAACAACACTGCAGGAATGCGAGTCCTTTCAGATTTGGGGTACACACCAAAGGGTCACAATGTAGGACATAACATTTTAGCATGCCAAGCGCATAGAAGACTTTAAGCTGTGATCTTGATGCGAGGTCTCAGGCTCCTTGGCACTCTGCACAGTTCTTCTTGGTTTCAAGTCTGATATGTTGTAAAATTTCACAACCTTCTGCAGCAAATAGGAACAACTCCTAAATTTTGATTTAGGGCTGGGGGTGACAGTATAATCATTGCATACGGTGCATGAGTAACCCACACACGGATCCACAACAGCCTGCTCCTAATTTTGAAACAACCCACTGAAAAATAAATTCAGGTAGATTTCCCCCTCAGAAATCAGGGATCCTATTTTTTTTTTTTTCTTTACTCAGTAGCTCCTCCATTCTAATATAATATTGCTGGGGCTAGAACCCTGCCCTTCCCTGCACCCAGGCCCAGTCCAGTCAGTTGGGGCACTGTTCACTGAGTAGAAGATGGGACAAGATCATTCTGAGGAGCCAGGGAACAGAGAGGCCATATCCAGGAACCTGAGAAGTCAGGTGATTCCTTGACAAAAGCAGGTACCAGAGAAGGCAAGCGATTTGGCCAGAGGAACAAAGGCAGAGCTGGGGGCAGAAGACTCCTCCGGGAAAAAGTAGTAGCTTGGGGCTTGGGAAAAGAACGCAGAGGGCAGAAGGCAGAAGCCAGAAGCCAGATGGCATACAAAGAAACTGAGAGAGCAGATCAGCAAGACCCTCACCCCAACAGTAATGCTTCTGCTGGTATCAGCGACAAGGAGGTTTAGAAAAGTCAAAGACTCTGCGGGACTGTGCGCTGGGGAAGGGTCAGCCATGGAGATCCAGTGCTGGGGACCCAAAAAGCTCCAGCCCAGCGAGTGCAGGGCAGGCTGTAGACGGGACCTGTAGACGGGACCCTGGGTACAACTGCCTGGCCACCTACCCACCAGCCACTCACTCACCAGCGATCTGCGCATGCGTGGCCGTTCCAACCTAACTTCCCAGCAGGGACTCCGCGCGCCAGATGGGCGGACGCCCACGCAGGTGGGGGGCGCCGCCACGCGGAGTCGCCTCGGAAGCGCCAGGGGGACGAGGATCAGCGGGCGCGCCGGCCTGGCGGCAGAGAAAGCCAGTCAGGCAGAGCCTTGATGGGACAGGCCTCCTAAACCCGGGCCTCTATCGCCAGTGACACCACGCGGATCCGCAGAGCCATGGACCAGAGGACCCAGGCGTCTCCCACACGCGCTGGCTGAGGTTTTAGGGTTCGGCCAAAGAAAGGGACCATCAGGACAGGCCCTGGGGTCACAGGGAGGCGAGGGGGCACCTGTTCTGCTCTGGTGCGACCAGACGCAATCTTGGTGAAGGGTACACCTCCTTTCAGCCCCAGTGGCCCCCTTCTTCTCAGCCCGCCCCACCTCAGGGTGGAGATACAAGCCAGGCTTCCTGTTGCTTTCACAACCTCTCTGCTCAGGGCTGGGACAGAGCTCTCCTTCAACCACTCAAGCAGAGAGGGTACCAGGCGGCTCTGCTGCTGTTACCCATGGGTGTGTGTGTGTGGGGGGGTGTTTAAAATGTAAACAGATGGCTTCCCGTGGTCCCTAAGCCAGGCCCAGGGCCCAGTGCTATTTGCGTGTCTCAGGGGGTGCCATGACAGCATCATCACTCCTGCTTTAGGAGAAGGACACCAAGGCACGGAGTGGGAGAGCGTCGTGTGTGTGTGTGTGTGTGTGTGTGTGTGTGTGTATGTGTGTGTGTGTGTGTGTCTGTGTGTATGTGTGGTATGGTGCCCCGCTCCGGAGTCTGCTTACCTGATACACACCCACAGCCTCCTGTTTTAGCTCCAGGGCTGACTTTTGCAGAGGTGACAGTTTCCCGGGCCCCTAACCCTTTTGGCAGCGCCCTAAGAAGCTTGTGTTTGCCTTGCAACCTTATCCTGGCCCTGGCTGCGCAGAGGCAGAAAGACTAAAGCTGTTAGCAGGCTTGCTGTGATCAGACAGGCTCGGAAGATTTGGTGACCATAAGAGGACCCTAACCCTGCGGGGTGTTCCTGCTTCACATACTTCCTGCAGGCTCCTGCTGGGGCTCTGGGAGGAGCCACAGGACTCCTGTCTGCCGCAGGAGCTGGGCCTCAAGCCAACTCAGGCAGGCGGTGGGTTTGCACTGGTGGCTGACTTTTTCAGCAAGTTTGAGATGTGCTGATGGATCCAGCACTGTCTCACCCACAGCTAGACTTGGGCGCTCACAAGCTGCACAGTGGGCTGAGGGCTGGGGTCACCTGGGACTTTCCCACCTCAGGCTGTGGGGCAGCAGTGAGAGGATAGGTGTAGAGCTGTTTCCACATGTGTGTACCAAAAAATACAGAAGGACTGAATGTTGCCAAGGAGGTGCAGCCAAGCTTCTGGGGGAACACAATACGTAGTTCCTAAGTTTTTCTTTGAAGATTTTTCTTGTGGTGCAGGTCTCTCGTGTGCCTGGTTGCTAGCCTGGCCCCTCTACCCACAGCCCTCTCCAGTGGCAGGACTGTGCCTGTGGGTATGCCCCACCTCCCCTCTCACAGGGGGCCCCTGAGGGCCTCCCCTCAGAGCAGGGACAGAGACGTTTCACCAGAGTCTGCCTTCTTGCCTGTCACACACAAGGCCTAGGCTGGAAGATCCTGAGCAACGGTGGGCCACAAGCTGTGCCCTCACCTTCTTCCTCACCTACAGTGGGCCAGAGGACAGGCCACCTGGGTGAGGTGGCCCAGAGACCCGCCCTGGGCTCCAGGCCAGGCTGGATGCTTGCTGGCTGACTCTTAACCCTTAGCAAATTTTGGATACTGCACCCACCCAGTACAGCAAGAAGACAAAGCCTTGGAGGTGTGACTAGGTGGCAGAGAAAGGGACATAGCCTCCCTCCCGCCTGTCTGGCCAAAACCCAAACACAAAACAACATCAGCACTGCCCACCACATCTCCCCCACCCACCTGGAAACCTCCCCTTTCCAGAGACCAGGCTGCTCTACGGGCATCCTGTGAGGGTGGTTGTCCTTTCCATGCCACTCTCCAAGCCATTCTTGTCTGTTCCGCTGTGTTCTCCTTTCCTGCTTCTAGGCCTCGGGGGAATTTCGGGTGCACCAGCAGCCCCAGGGCCTGTGTGAGACCTTTCTTGGGGTTCTACTTGGGCCACAGCCACAGTGCAGGGCCTGGGGTCCTTGGAGGAGGGAGAAGCTTGGGGCACTGGCTGTTGGGAGAGGAGCAGGGTGGCACAGACGAGCAGTGTGGATGGGAACCTGCTCTGGGAGTTTAGGGGAGAGCCAGGGCAGGAAGGAACCTCCTAGGCAGAAGCCCCATGCAGGCATTTGGGTTCAGAGATGTTTGGTCAGAGGAAGGACAGAGGGCGTCTTATCTGGAACCCCTGAACCGGAAGAGGATGGCTCCAGTGACAGGCTGGGGCCACCAATCACAGGGTTAGAAAAGCTGAAAGGGTGTGGGTGGCAGCAGAGCCTGGTGCTACGGCTGAAGGTTCCCAGGCTGCCATTGCTGTCACTGGACATGGCTCACCCTGGGGATTTCTCCAAGAACCTGTCCTTGGTCCTCCCCACGTGACCGGTCAGTGTGGGATCAGGAAGGACAGGCGGAGCGGCCTGACATTGCTGGGGTGGGGTGTCCCGTGAAGTGGTGCCCTGGGTGTGCTCTAAAGGAGGAAACCAAGAACTCCTGTCCTAGAGGTGACTCATGGCAGCCACACAAGTCTGGTTCCGTGGTCACAGCCCACCATTTGCAGCCACGTTAGTGGCTCCTGCAGGGTAAGACAGTGACTTGGCCTGCTGGGCAGCCCTGCTGTGCCCTGGGCTACAACCCTCACCCATGCACATCTTTCTGTGTGGGGGGATTTGGGAGAATGGGGTCTTCAGCTGAGCAGGCCTAGAGTCACATAGGAGTCACCCCACACAGAGATCCCCCACCACTTCTCCAGGAATCCCAGGCCTCTGCTTGGGCTCCCCACACTTCTCTTCCTCACCCTCAAGCAGAAAGAGCAGGCTGAACAGAAGTCCCCTGGGAACTCCGGGTTAACCAGGCTGGGGAGGTGGAGTGAAGGGAGAGGGGCTGCGCATTCCCCTGGCTCCTCAGCCACACCACGCAGGCAGGGGAAGTCTTGGGCACTGAGTCCCAGCCAGGGGACAGACATTGGAGGGCCAGAAGGACAGTCCGGCACCCAGCCTGAGGCAGAGATTGTTCTGGAAATGCTGACCCTCTGAGAGGAAAAGCACCAGGATGAGTGGCTGGAGTGGGTCCTGCCTGCCCTTCGTGCCCATGAACTGCTCCTGTTTTCTACCCTCTGGGTGCCCATTTCCGTGCCCTGGTGCTCAGTGAATTTGCTGTGCTGTCCATGACAGGAGGAGGTGTCCTAGGAAAAGAGGCTGTTGGAGACAAGTCTTGCTTCAAGCAGCTGCATATGCTGAGCAGGCCACTGGTCCGTGTGTCTGTGGCCCCTCTCCCAGACCCAGCTGTGGCATTCTCAGAACAGCAACACCTTACCTGAGGTTTGGATGGGCCCGTGGTGTGTCCTCCAGTGACCTGAGTCTCCTCCCTTACCTGCTCCCTGGCTCCCCTGGGCCCCACAAGAAGTCCTTTCCCTGTGGCAGCAGTCCTGAGGCTCCAGCGACCTCAGCTTCTCTCAGCCAGGAGCCACAGCAAGTTTCTACTTCCCTTCTCACCGCCTCCGGGGTGTCCATGTGCTGTCCCTGGATGAGCCACCACTTGGTCCATCTGACCATCCTGGCTCTTTTCATAACAGGGCTACTGTCCCTGAATTCTGCTGGCACTGGGAGTCCAGTGCCCAGCTTTCCCTGATTCTGTGCTGCTGGATCCTGCACGCCACAGCCCAGGAGTCACCACCCTTGACTAGGGAAGCTGGGAGAGATTTTGCATGCTAACTACCTGTCTCATCTTGTTCTGCAGGCTGGCGGGGGATGCGATGATCAACTCCCCATTCCTGGAGCTGTGGTGGCCCAAGACCGTGTCCCTCCGGGAGGGGCTGGGCCTTGGGGACAAGCCCAATGACTCCTACTGCTACAACTCAGCCACAAACAGCACTGTGCT